AACAGAAAATTCATTGCAATTTTGAGAACTATGGAGAACATACAGATGCCCCAGCAAATACAGCCTGCTTCCTAATCAACAAGAAGGGAAGGTAATTATCTAAAACAGCATTTTCATGACAGAGGGAAAGAACAAAACAGTAATCAAAACCCACTGAAAACCCAGTTGAAGTTTGCCACTATAGCAGGAAGAGAACACACAGTTTTACCTGGAAACTGGAGAGCTTGAACTTTTCAGACCTGCCCAGTATTATGCAAAAGAACAGACTTTCTATTTATATATTATACAATACTGGACAGGTGTGAATACCTGTACTCTTACTTCCCTGTCTCCTTCTACAGACTCCTTGGAACACCTTCTGTCTTTACCACATCCATCCTGGGGGTGTCCCTTGCAAAGCCAACATGCTTCCTCCTTGCAGTCTGCTTTTTAATGCAGCACAGTAAATTGCTATTCTTTGAAATGTGTGAAAAAAAGTTTTTTAAATGAGGTCCAAAGGAAGATTCTGATTGCCAGTGGCTGTTCTCTCTGTCTTAACCTAGATCAGTTTGACATAAGCCATTTATTTCATGGTTAACCCCAAAAAATCCTGAAGGGAGTATAAATTTGTGCATTAATCCTGCTCACTGGTTTGGTTCCACTTAGGTTTGGATGAAGGAGGTGCCACGTTGCAACTCTCCAACCCATATTTACCCTTTCAAATGCTTTAACCAAACACCATTTGAGAAGCCTTCTGTGACTCTCACACAACTTGTTGTTGCAGAGGAGAAAAAGTCACACTGCTGTAAGTGCTGAGCATTACAATGAAATATAAAGCAGCATTAAAGTTGCTCCGTGCTTAATGCGCTGGTTTAAGCAGCTAATCTTGTTTTGGTTGAATGGCATGTTCATTACAGCAAATAAATCAGTAACGCGTAGGATTATTGAAGAGGAAAGACACATTAAACCAGTTTAGGGCATCATATTGATTTTCCAATTTTTTTTTTTTTTTAGTGTCCGATTTAGCTTGGCGTTTTTCAACAGTCAGTTCTAATAAATGCTTGTATAGCACAGATTAAGCAGGTGGGAACACTGCCCAGAAAGGGTATTATGAATAACTTAATGCACTGGTTTAATTGCAGCAATCCATGATACTTACTGTGCTGGCACCAGAGGAAAATTTTCAGTATTAAAAGTTAAAAATTCAACTGAGCTACTAGTGAGTATCTTTCTTTTAATAAATATTTGGGAAAAAATTCCATTATTTTCACCTCAAATGGGAGCAGAGGAAGATTAAAGCTCATGCAACTATTTAACTTATTTCTGCCACAACTAATTAAGATATTGTTAAAAAATAATTAGCATTTACTTGACATAACTTTGCCTCTCTAACACAGCGAAACGTTGCAGTGGTGTCCCTGCTGTCTTTGTGCTCATTCAGCCCTATTCTGCTCAATCCCCTTTGCAAACACGACGCACAGAAGTGAAAAGGCCCAAACCTAGCTCATATTTCAAGCAACAAGCTCCTTTCAAAGCTGTACTCTAGAGTATCCCCATATTCCTTCCTTGCCACAGGTCAGAGCAGATGCTGCAGGAAATCAGTTTGGAGCAGCACCAAATTTCCAGCAGAGCCAAGTACTGAAGCTGCTGCCATCACAGAGGAAGACGCTGGTCTGACAGCTCCCTAAGCCCACACCCAGTCCTGGGCACAGACCATGCCAGACACTCTGAAAGGCCAGCAAAGATGCTGGTGATCCCTTCCAAGTGCAGGTGTTTGACGCAGGTATCACACAACTGATTGTGGTTACTGATCACATCACCTGTTTTCTTCCTTTCCGTGTTATTTTTGTCTTAGATTAGATTAGGATCTCCAAGACAGCAACTGCACTTCAATTCTCAGCACAACACAAGGCTATTGTTGCACATAAATCACCCTGGCTGCCACCAGCAAGTAGCAAAAGGCACCCATTACAATACTGGGAGAAGAAACACTCCAGAGAAGTTTCAGAATTTACTGGCTTTGCTCTTCCAATGTAACTTTTCACTCTGGCAAAGATACAGAATGCACATCCTACACAAACTTAATGAAGGTCAGGCTAAAAATGCTTACATCAGTCCCAGAGGGAAATTTCACAACGAAATATGAACAAAAATTGTTAAGTTACCCATACATTCTGATTAGGAGTACAGTGATTTTGCTAATCACACATCGTTCCAGAGGAACTCTACATTCAGGGCATGAAAACTAAGGTAGAAATTAGCAGAAACAGAAGATTTGATGGTACTTGATTAACTGGACAAAAAGCACCAGAAACAAAACATTAGGAAACTGAAGCCATTTTGTGATTATAGCAGTTATTTAATGAAGACACAGAAAGCAGCCATTACTCCAAAAAAAATCTTTTTTTTTTTTTAAAGAGTTCTTTGTTTAGCACTAAACAGGAATCCTCACTCAGCTCAAAATAGAACAGGAGCTTTAAAGAACATTTGAACTAGGATTACTTCAACACCATCACACAGTCCAGCAGTTCTCCCAGCAGAAAGCAGTTGTTTTTAACTCAGAAGGCAGTCCCTGTTGTCATCCTACTCCTCACTCCCAGCTCTGACCTGTGCAGGCACCCCACCATAGACCAGTGCAGGGCTCAAGCTCAGCTGCACTGCATCCAGCAGTCCCCAGCCTCACTTCGACCAAGAAGCCAGAGCATCTCCCTTTCAGCTCAGCTGCCATCAAGGGCCCATTCATCCCCTCTTTTCTCAGCATCTTTCAACCACCTGTGCACTTCAGCAGCCTCCCCTTCATGCGCTTACAGACCCCCATTTCTGAACCTCTACTCCTCCACTCATCAATTAAATCCTCTACTGTTCCCCCTTGCCCTTCTCCTGTGCAGATTCCCTTCCAAGTTTCTCTCTCAAGCATAGAGGCAGCCAGAGCCACACCAACATTTCAATTCCCACTGCCTTCCTGGACATTTCTAGCAAGGAATACGCTAAGACTTAAATTTGCCTTTACAAATGGCACCACTAGAGCACAAGGCTCCTGTCATCAGGCTAGACACCCAACTCTCTCCATGATGAGGCACTGCACTGCTGCTTTTTAAACCCTGCAGCCCAGCAGCGGTCCAACACCATGCCTGCTGAAGCTCTGAGGGGCCAGGGCAGGCAACCAAAAGCCCCCCCACAAAGACAAGAAGTTATCCCCACCAGCCTCACTTCCACACACCCATCCATGAAACTCAGTTGCAGCTAACACAAGCCTTTCCATTGACTGCAGGAGACTTCAACAGAGCTGAAACTCCACCCTCTCAGCAGTTGCCGTTCTGTAATTCAGCACAGCACTGCTCTGAAAACACCTTTCTGACGCTGTTGTCCTACAAGCAGCATAATGAGGAATAATAAGCAGGTGCTTCTCAACACAAATGCAGAACAGAAGGGGTACAAAACTACTATAGATGAAGCAATTAAGTAACCACGCTATTCACTGTTTATTGACAGTCTTTATTAGACCTGACTTTGCACGTTTAGGGGTTTCCTACTAAGTATAAATATGAATCAAAGTGTTACCCCCCTCCCCCAGAATAAGAAATCTTTATTTCCACAAAAATAAAAAGATAAAACCAACCAGTATTTCAAAGTTTATGCCTTTTAATACATATTAATAACAAAATAAAAAGGTGAAAGACTAGCAGCAAAAAGAATTCTATTCCTCTTTTAACAGTCTGTTTGCTTCCACATTTCTCTAGCAAATAGAGTAAAAAGACAATTCAATCAATTCATATATGAAATATACTACCAAAAATATAACACTGTGTAAAGAAAGTTTACAGTAGAAAGTTGGGGGGTGGGAAAAAAAAAATAAAATAGTAGATTTAACATTAAAAATCTCAAGTGTAAACTTTGCTGCTGCTTTAAAATCAAAACCAACAAAAGTCACATGAGTATTTCCGTTTGGCTTAAGAGCCAGGAAAATAAGAAAAGCTGATTTTTTTTTTTTAAAGTGCTTAACCACCATATCCAAAAGTAATGACTTTCAGACCTACTTAACATGAATGTGCTCAAAAAGCCACTGCTTACAGTATAAAAGCTGTCATTCTGAAATGCTGCACATACAAACTGGCTTTATCTGCAGGAATGAAAGATTCCTTTGAACAGCTCTCAATCATATGATGTCCCAAATCAATGTAATGCTATTAGAGCAGGCAGCTGAATAAGTACCAGAAAGTTGAAGTTTAAGAATAATAGATATAAAAAAAATATTTTTTTTCTTAAAAGGCAGCATGCCTCTCCCAGCCGGATGTACTGTTATGCAATAAGCAAGAGAAACACAGTTTTATATCATTGCTGTAAACTACCTAAAACAAAGTGACTGCTGATCTAGTAATTCACATGTTAAACAGAGGAAGGTAGATTCTTCTTTCTGATAAAACACAAAAAAGTAATAGTGTGGGTGGGACCAATTGCTAACACCGTATTGTACTTATTATTAAACATACAGTTTAATAAACTTGTTAAACTTGACTTCAAAACCAATAGCATGTCCTAACAGAAGAAAAAAAAAATTAATAAAGCCAATGATTTGAAGAGCTTTAGGACTGTTTTTGTTACACTGTTATATATTTATTTGAGCCCTAGTGCAAAGGAGAAATTCAACATTATAGGCTCCAAAGTAAATCAAATACAACCATTTCATGGGGCATTTTGACAGACATCAGACACAGATTCCCAGAGAAAATTAATTAATTTTTTTAGCTGTAATGACCTTTTTTTTTTTATCTCAAGGTTAGAAAATACATTTAAAAACTGGAGCAAAGACTCTGGCATTCATTAACCTCAGGTACAGCTATAAATACTTTAAAACCCCACCACTCTCCCAAATCAGAAATACAATAAACAAACTGAACTGCCACTCTTGCTGCAGCCATTAAATTGTGCCCGCAGCCTGACAGCAGCACCACCCATCCCTGCAGTTATTGCACAAATTTCTCCATCAGCTTTGAAGTTCTGCAAGTTTGCATTTGTTTGCACCCATCTATTTCACAGGAATAATATTTTTAAACTATTTCTTGAAAGTCACCAATTCCCAACACAGTATATTCACGTTCTTCAGAACAGGTTTCAAGTAAGAGAACCCACTGGTTCACTTACTGCTAAAACACATTACCTAGAAAACACAACTTTTTCCCTACAAAATTCCTGTAAACAACTCTGTATTAAGCCACAGTAAGCTCTAGACCAGGAAATTCAGCATCTCCAGTGACTTGACTTTACCTCACTTCTCTTCTACAAAAACATAAAAAACCACCAAAATGTTAGAATTAAGAAGGAAAGCAAATGGCATAATAAACAGAGAGTGAAACCTTGTTACACAAGCAGGTAGGTAAGATTAGCTTCTGAAAATGTAAGATTTGAAAAGCAACGATTTTAGTGGTTAAAGTGTGCAAAAGACTCAATATGCCACCAGTTTCAGAGAAAACACAATACTGTAGCCATCAATAATTACTATTCAAGTCCAGTTCTGGCAGTTGTGCTGCTTTTGTTGCCATTTTAGACAGTATATATTACCACTTTCTCTGTATATTTCATGCCTCTTTTTTAACAGATGCCAGCATGACTTTTCAGTGGTATAGAAAAGATGGGAACTTTTTAAAGGGTTCCTTCCATCCCAAGTCTGAATATTCTGTGGAATTAAAAATAATGTTTTAAGCAGAAATATCAAACATTATTTGAAATTTTGTCTATCAAAATCACCTCAAAAAGATTCAAAATACCAGTTTTTTATGAAACAAACACAGAAAATACCATGCAAGGGAAGTGTAGCTATTCTACTGATGTGAAGTACAAAAGCTTAGGAACAGAAAAACACCAGCTTCAGCCCAAGACTGAAAAAAAAAAGCCACCACAGATTTTTCAAAACCAGAGTCCATACAGTGTCACACAGCCCTGCCTTGTCATGTTTGTTAATATCCTCGCTTAGAAGTCAGACAGCATTTTGTTTAACTTGTGTTGCTCTGTATCATTACACTAAACCATAATTAACTCCTCTTTTGTGCCGGCCTCATTCCAACACAATTGTACCCACTGTATACCAGCAGCAGTTCTCAGGTTTTGTTTTGCAGCTCAGCTGTATTTTTCTTGGATGTTCACAAGATTGGCATTTGACTGGATGCGCTTGGCTAGAAAGGAAAAAATTATATGAAAATTAAACACAAAGAATTCCACAAAACTAGTCCCTCCACTCCCTCTATTTATCAGACAGACTTGCAAACAGCTTTCTGTTCACGTCCAGAAACTTTAATGAAAAGATATGGCTGAAGCTCTTTACTACCCTTCTTCAGGGGACAGCAGCAGACTAATAGTTGCTATTAGTGCCGTCAGCACAGCTGCAGGCAGATCTGGCTGGGCCTCCTCTCCCACAAGAGCCAAGAAAATCCCTGGCACCTCCCAACTCCAACAGTGAAATGCCAACATCGCCACTTACGCAAAATGAGTATCCGTTTCTTCTGCTTTGAGTGAAGGAAACTACTAAGATAAAAAACAATAGGTAGGAAGAGAATAAAGGATGAAACTGCAATCACTGGGACTGTGTCACTGCAGGGAAGAGAACAATTGAAAGTCCTGCTCCAAAGCTTCCGAGTGATGTTCATCTAAAAGGAAAACAGAGGCAAACCATGAAAGCAGCACGTGCATTTTTTCTGTGCAGCATGGCATGGCAAACAGTGAGGCCTCAAGACATGCAAGTATCACCTCAGAAAATTGCACTTGAACAAATCTCCCCCAAAAGCAAGCAAATACCTGGAAATGTTGAAACAGACTATTTAGATGGAGCCAAGATTTCACAACAAAACTTTTACAAGCTTCAAAAACATAACTATACTCAGATACATGTAGACACTGTTGCATGCCTGTTTCCCAGAGAGCTCACTGATAGTCTGTGGGGCCAGGGCTAATCCCATGCTTTTGAGGAACACTCCTTCAGCCCAGCCACTTAAAAATCCACAATATACCCAAAGCTTTTTTCAAATATATGTCGTCAATGCTGAGGATCCCTAAAAAAAGCTGCTGTAATAAGGAATCAATTAATACACCAGCTAGAACAATAGGAGAAAAGCCCCACATTAAAAGCCAGAAGATTAAGAGATTTATTTTTTTAAAATCCAACTCCTCCACAGTAACAAGAAACGAAAGTGCAGCTACTCAAACTGGAATGCGCTCGGGAGATCTGGAGCTTTAGTCATGCTCCTGCAGCACTGCCCGAGGACAGGACCTCACAAGACAGCCCCACGAAGCACCTCCCACCACAGGACACCAGCCTGCCAAAGGCACTGCTGCCCCTATTGCCCTCTGTCCAAAGGAAAAAGCCATCCTAGTAAGAAAAGCACAAATGGCTCAGATTAATGAAGTGTACTAACAAACACGTACTGCATCTTCCACGTCGATACACAAGTGTGCGGAGTGCTCAGATTCACCACCTTGCCTGTTCATCCTCTGCAGGTGGTTATACAGGTCATTCAGTTTTGTGTAGGTTTCATTGCAGTTTTTACACACCTCTGTGTAGTTATTTGGTGACAGATCAATGGCTTGCCCCTAGGATTATAAAACTCTGAATGAATGACAGTTTAAGGCATTAAAAAAAACAAACTGGTTTAATTTGTTACTGCCGAGTTACACTGACAGGGACGGACTGTGCCGCACCAAGCAATCCTTTCCATCTGCAGCCTTCAGCACTCCACGAATGCAATACAGGACACGTGAAAACAAAACTGCAATCTCTGAAGATATTTCAACACAGCAATGGCTGTACCAGCTACCCACTGACCACCGGGTTAAGTTCTAGTTTAATCACTTGGAAGTTTTCAATAGGCCAGTCCACACCGCTCCTGACCAAGGCCTATAAAGGCACATTTCCTAGAAACCATTCATGAAGAAGAGACAGATTCCTCAGAGATTGTCCCATGCCCATTGAAGTAAACCCATTTTACTACGAAATGATCCTGAAATCTGGCCAGTTTCTGACTGAAATGGAATATGCAGTTTCTTAGGCTATACAGGGCATTTTCTCTCAGGACAATTACCACATTTGTTTCACTAAGGAAGTTATACTGTCTTTACAATATGGCCAACCTTTAACTGCAAGTAATTTTAACAAACAAAATAAATGTTACAAGAATTAAAGGTGGCTGGTACTTCTGAGCTAGTCCATATTATCAAAAGAATATTTAAAGACCGAATTTCTACGTTAAAAAAGATAATTCTACAAAGCAAGAGCATGCAGACATGCTGGTTTTTACTATGTAATTATCAACTATTGTGAATTCAGAAATTTTGATGTGAAGTAGCATTGCAATTACAGACAAAATGAAGTCAAGGTGAGTATCAATTAGAATTAATTTCAGGCACTCAGTCTGTAAACAACTGCATTTTACCGATCACGGATTTATCTGCCTACAATTCACAAACTCAGCAGCAGTCAATTTGCCTAGTCTGCATCTGCAGTTTATTCAGCATAAATAAAATTTTGGTAGCAGTTAGATGATTTAGCGCTTCTCTTAAATACACAGCATAAGTACCTGAAGGTTATGTTCAAAACATGTCAGGGATTTATTGAATAAATCCAGGAATTCTTCAGTAGAATTTGATAATCCCTCACTGTTATTCTTTAAACAATCTGTTGAAAAGAAAGAAAAACATCAGGATATTTTAATTTCTAACATTTCCACAGCCAGCAAGGCCCAGACACTCCACTCCTGCAAAAAGAGCCCTCGACTATAAAGGACAGGTCTAGTCAACACTGCAGTTTCCTTATCTGCCTGCCACTGATATCTCAGACCTGCTGACCTAACGCTTCATCGAGAACACATTTCAGAATTAATTGGCCTTGATTAAGTGAAAGATGAAGACTATCATCAAGAGCTTTCTGAAGAGGGGAACTGAATTATCTTTGGACTTTGAGATAAAACAAGACATTACTTTTATTTCCCAGCCCACAAATCTGGCTTTGCCCAGCAACAGTAACAGCCATTTTGTGGAAGTAGAAGCACCAGCAGCAGAGATGAAATGGAGAGAACCCAGGAAACAGCTAGACCATGAACACAATAGTAGAAATCACAGTGTAATTATTATTCTTTAAGAAAAGAGCTGAGCTTTTTACCAGCTTTGAGGGAAGCTCTGGGGCTTTCCTTCCAGTCAGGGGCTCAACCCCATGTTACTGCTTCCGTCCATCCTACCCTACTTCAGGTGCACTAATCAGCCAGACCTTTAAAAACAACAGTATTTGAGGAATTTAGGAGTTCAGCAACAGCACCGTGAGAGCAAGCCAACATCCTAGAAAATGCTCCTGAAAGTAGTAAGCACCATCAGTAGTTTTCTGACAGACTACCACCCTCAGATTTTGGCCCTTACAAAAGAAAACACTCTTGGAGTGGCTGTAGTTCAGGATTTGTACGTTATCTGCGGGCTGTATTCAAACACATACAATTCTGATCTGTGCAAATTTTAGGGCTACATCATCACAGTAGCATGAGAGCTACAGAATGAGTCACGTACTTGCGCAGTTGGCTGCCTCCCAGGTTTCGTTGAAGAACTCCGAAAGGGTCACAACTATCTGCAGCCTGTCTGAGGTCAAGATGCTTTTGGCACAGTTGTGGCTTTCAGAGGAATTCTAGAAATAAAAAGAAAAAAGAAAGGTAGCAGACAAGTGTTAAAAATACAAAGGGGAATTTCTGAAATGTATTTTACACGAGCATATCTAAAACAATCACATCACATGGATATTTCCAGAAAAGGCAGAGCAGAATTGATGGAACAAAAATCTTTTAGTCCTTCAATTCATACTGTGAGCAACACAGCTTACTGCACACAATCTCTGCAGGTCTACTAGGGCCTCAGGCAAGTCAGTCAAAAGTACATGGCAAAAAAAGAAAAAAAAAGAAAAAACAAGCACACAGACAGGACCTTTTCTGCCAGGTGGCTCACATTCATCCATTCATGGGCCACTGCCCCGGGAGCCAGCTCAAGGCACGTGCAGTCAGAGAAGAGGACAGGGTTATTCTCATTAGACATAAGGATCAGTTGAAGGAGCTGAACCAATGGACTGGCCTCAAACAAACAGAAACAGCCTCCAAAACCACTGCAGCAACGTAGTCTATCAGCAGCAAACTTCCCCCAGTGCAGCAACACCAGGAACAGAGTCCTCTGTGGAGCAGTGCCCACGCTCACTCACCCAAGCATATGACCAGGCCAAGCTCACCTGCCTTAGTGAGCCATTCAGTGCACCCCATCCTCAAAGCAGGCTCTGCCACAACTCTTACAGCAACTTATTCTCTGGACCAAGCTCATAAAAAATGCACAGCAACTGTGAAAGCAGTTGCAGAATAAACAGGAAGTATTCTGATCAGAATTCAGATACAGAACCATGACCTCCAGTCAGCTGACTCCCATGCTCTAGCTGCTGGTGTCTAGCTGCAAAATTGACTTAAGCACTTCTCAAAACTGCCAAAGCTGCCAAAAGCCTCTTTGATAAGTGACGTGGGACACAGAAAAAAATAATCTCTTTAATGAGAAACTTGGTCCTTACAGTGCTTTACAAGAGATCCAGTTTCTGCCTCTTCATTAAAACGAGGCAAGGAGGTTAAATAAGAACTTTCCCCTGGAGGATCAACTGCAGAAGTCAAATATTGCCACATCTGGTAACTCCCACGTTCGCCCGCTTTCATTTCTACTAAATTACAGATATGCAAGAATGTTGTTTATGCAGGAAACTCTGGTTGCTTCACAAAGGCTGTGAAGCTTCCTCACCACCTGGGCTCATGAGTAGGAAAAAGCACTTTACCAACACCAAATCACATAAACCTAAAGTATTCCTTAAATGAAGTTTGCTTAATTGATTCTTTAATTAGCCTGGTGAGAAGGATTTGATATTTCAGAGATGTCCAAAACTTAAACTGGCTGTTCCTGTCATGTTGCACTCGTAACTGCTGTTAAGATAGAAACATCAGACACCTGATTAATTGTAATCAGGGACTGAGGTTGCAAGAGGCCACCTCCTTTATTCACCTAGTGAGTTAATCCACACACAGAAGGAAAGGCAACAGACGTGTCTTCCAGACCACATAGTGGACAAGTCCTCCCAGACTGCTAGTACTCAAGCACAGCAGCTGCAATGAGTTCATACATATTCTAAGTAATGGAATACGTTTGGCCATTTAATCCTAGCCAAAATATCATGGTAAAAGTACCCAAGAGAGTTACACATTCAATTTCTCACTTTCACACTGAAGCAGCTTCCATGGAAGAAACAAATAGAACAGACATGTTTGCAAACTAGAACAGGAGACCACTGGCTACATATATGCCCTGGAGAGGACAATTACCAAGGGAACATGCATGTATTCTTCCAATACAAGCACTGGGGTGATGAGAAGAAATAGGAAAACAACCCAAAACACTACCCAAAAGCAACACTGATACTTCTCCAACGACAGGAAACAGTGCATAGGATGGTTTGCAGGCCACTGTGGCACCTATTTATTGCCTGGGCTTGAAGAGCAACAGATTTTTCTCGTCAATGGCAATTCTAAATCTTGGAATTCAGAAATCCCAAGACTGAAAGCACAATCCAAGGTGCATACTCCTATCGACTTGCTCTCTGTCTGTTCTATTACCAGGGCATCCACTTTTAGCCATCATCACAGAACAAAAGTCTGATTCACTAATCACTAAATGCTCTTATTCACTGATGTTATCATCACGCCATCCTAGGAACTTTTACAAATGGATCAATTCGATGAGAACACACAAAACAAGCCACAAACCACGTCCAACAGTAAGAAAAGGAGGGGGGAAAAAAAACCCAAAACAAAGCATGATAAAAGTCTGGAGGATGTTAACAGAAGACTCAGCTTCAGTCAAAGTTCTCCCACCAGTAGGGTGCACTGACCCCAGCCAGTGCTCAGGCTTTTTACACACGCTCCCATCAGCTTTGGAACCAAGAACGCTGACACGGTTCCTCACAAGATGATGTGCCTCACTCGCCACAGCTTCACAGACTATCTTTTTTCCGAGAAGTTCCAGGCAACTAAGCTCTAGCAGTGCTCCCCAGCAGCGCTCATACAACCCGTGAGCCAGAGCACTGCTTTAGCCATTGCTACATCAGCAAGAACAACTCGAGTTTTTCCACTCGCACAGCTTTCTCCGCAGGTGGAGCTGCTCGCCCCCAGCCATGCCAGGAGCTGCCACAACAGAGCAGGACGAGGCGGCCGTCCCTGCCAGCAGCGCTTCCCAAACACTCCCACCCTCTGCCAAACTGCCCTGCGCATCCCGGCAAGGCTTTCAGCCTGCCCTCCCGAGGATCCCGCCGCCACCTGACGTGCTCCGGCACCGAACTCACGGGCCTGGAAGCCTCACGGAAAGGGAGCAGGCCCCCAGCCCGCCCCGGCAAACCGCGCACCCGCCTCGGCCCCACGGACGCACCCCGACGGCGCGGGCGATGCTGCCGTACTGTGCGAGCAGGCGGCGGTAGTGGCCGTGGCAGCCCTGGCACAGCCGCACCGGGCGGGCGCGCCGGCCCAGGCAGCCCGTCAGCGCCGCGCTGCCCTCCGCGAAGTCGGCCAGCAAGCTGCGGCACTCGGGCTCCAGCTCGGGCAGGTCCCCGGGCAGCCCCGCGCTCCACAGCTCCTGCGCCAGCTCCAGCGCCGGGGTCTGGCGCGGCCCCGCGGCGGTGGCGAGGCCGAGGAGGGCGAGGGCGGGCGGCAGCAGCAGCAGCAGCGCCCGGCACAAGCACCACGGCGGTGCCATGGCGGCCGCGCCGAGGAAGCGGAAGCGCCGGGCCGGGAAAGAACCGGTCCCCGCCGCGGGGCGCCGCCGCTGATTGGCTGAGATGGGGCGGGGGCGGGGAAAGGGGCGGGGAAGAGGCGGGGCCTCGATGGGTGGTCCCTGGGGGCGGGGTCCCATCCCGGGGTCCCATCCCGGGGGCTCATCCCGGGACACGGCGCTGGGATGACCCCAGGGCCGGGAGTGTGTGCGAGCTGTGCCTGTGCCTGTGCCTGTGCCCGTGCCCGTGCCCGTGCCCGTGCCCGCGGGATGTGCCCGCCTCGGACGCATGCTGCTCCGCGGAGAGCGCGGTTTCTGTGCCGTGCGTTTCATCCAGGTCCCACTCTCTTCGTCCGTGAAGGGGTTTTAGGAGTATCTGTCGTTTGGGAAGTGACTGCAAAAATATGCTGAAATGCAGCAACAATTTAAGGCTAAAAAGTCCCCCAAACAGAGAAAGAAATTGTGATAAAAGTGATAAACTGCAACTTTCTGCAAACAGTGTTTCCCACGTATTGTCTGAAGCTGGACACTTTTGTTGGTACCTGGCTCCAAACTTTCCCGTGGCCGACTGAATAAAACCACAGCCACCAAAGGAAAACTCAGGGCGGGAGGAGTGAGTAGAGCAGTGGGTAGCCCCTCCCGGGGGCTGAAGTACCAGGCTACCTGGTAACTGTCTGCAGGACCTTGACTCCGTGCCCGTTCCTTCCGACTCAAGATCTTTTCAGCCACTTCCATAGGCTTCTTAGCGAGTCTGGGGTTTGTAGCGCTCTGGTAAGACCCACAACAGAGAGATAAAGGAGGGCCCTGTGATTTCCATAGCAAGGTGCCTTCGGGAATAACAGCCAAGCAGGAATGGCCCCATCCGTTTTTTGCCGCCGACTGGGTGCTGCACACACGGCAGCGGTGATGGGACACGGTGCTGGCCGACAGTGCCGTGACACTTTGGGCAGCTGCTGGGAGCTCAGGACTGCTTGAAGTGGCTCCCAGAGCTACCAGTTGTACCCAGCTCCACCAGCACCGTGTCCCCAGGCCCACCTGGTGCTGGCTTGGGCCAGACATGCAGTAAACGTCGCGGCATGGAAATATCCAAACAGATTTGCGAAAACACGGCAGTAAAGGTGGGATACAGATGCCATCAACAGGCAAGGAGCAGCCAACAGAGAGCATCTGGCTTTTCGGAGTATCCTGAATGCCTCAGCTCTGAAGACCTGGCTTTCAAAGCAATGAATGAAACAAGTGAAAGCCACATTCATGAGGTGTGACACAGATGAATGCGACAGTGTGGTCAGAAATGTGCCACGCTGCCTGTGCTTGCAAATGACCAGGGCGAGGGCCCTGGTTTGGGTGCCGGACCTTCCCTGAGCCTTGCTGCCCAGACTCCAGACAAGTCCCGCTGAGGTTTTGTCCAATGCCAGGCAATACCTCCCCCCACAGCGTCTGTTGGTTTGGGGTCCGCATCCAGCAAGTGGAAGTTTGAGGATGCTTAGCAGGACGGGTGTGCCTGAAAAAGATTGTCACCTTTCCGTGGCTCCCTAGCAGAGGTGCAGCCAAAACACGGAGAAACCCTGCGACCACGGAGAAAACCTGGGAGAAATCCTGCACCAAGCCGGCACCCGCAGCCCTGAGACGGGGACAGGGACCGCTTGCCGCTCTTAAGTCACCCTCGGGCCAGCCGGCACCCGGAGAGCCCCGTTTGCCCGAGCCGGGAGCGGGGTATTCCCGCAGAACGGAGTGTCCCTGCAGAGAGGGATGTCCTGCACAGAGGGATGTCCTGCAGAGAGGGATGTCCTGCACAGAGGGATGTCCTGCACAGAGGGATGTCCTGAAGAGAGGGATGTCCTGCACAGAGGGATGTCCTGCACAGAGGGATGTCCTGCACAGACGGATGTCCTGCAGAGGGGCGGCCCGGCCGGGCTGCCCGCATCCCCCCGGGAGAGGGCAGCAGCACTCCCGCACATCGCCCCACAGAGGGGCCGCGGGGGCTGCAATGGGACCTCGGCCCGTCCCACACCGCCCCGACAGCAGCTGCACCCCGAGGGAGCGATACAAACACGCCCCAGGGCAGGGTCTCGGCATCCTCCCCGGGATTGTCCCTCGCGTGGGTCTGGCGGGGGCAGAGCTGCGCCTTCATCTCGCGGGTCGAGGGGAATGCGCTTTCCCACGGCTTAAGAGACTTTAATATTCTCCTGTGAGATAATGTGTTCTTCCTGCGTGTGGAAACTGGGCTCGGGGGGTGTGGAGAAAGAAAAAAGAAAGGGAAAAAGGACCAAGGAAAAATTTAAAAAGGAAAGAGGGGAGGGGGAGAATAAAGAAAAATAAAAAAGCTCAGGAGTTTCAGATGTCAACTCTGAGGTGTAACCAGTTGCTGCTGACCAATAAGGAAGATGTCTGGTCGCTAAGTGCTTCTCCTTTTTATCCAAAATAAACGTGACACGACAAAGCAAAAAATAGAAAGTCACTAACTCTTTCAGAACTGGGCTTGAAGAAGGCATGGTCCCCTTCTCTGATAACAGATAAATTTGGTACCAAGCAGAAACAGGTATTTTCACTGAGAACTCAGCTGTCAAGCTCATTCAGTTAATTTTGTTACAGACTCGGTGTCATTACCTTTCTGCTCCACCTCATCAAAGGAGTTGTACTCACAAGCAGGATTTGGCCTTGGCTGGCAAATCTCAGAAACATTTAAGAATATCAGAGATCTTGTGTGGGTATACTCAATTATTCCTGAAAACACATCCTAGTGTTTCAATACCTGCCCTGGCTACAGACAAGAACATTATTCTGCAGAAGGAAGAAAACCTTACCTTTAAAGTGCAGAAACAGAACACAGAAAACAAGTATTGATTTCCTGTGCCATCTTGCTGGATCTGAGGAGACAGCAGAGTGAGCCAGGGAAAATGAACAATTTGAAGCTGTGAACCTGTTTTTCCCCTCTGATTGTCAGTCTCCCTGTTTCCTTCAGTTCTCTTTCTGCTGAGTTATGCCACTGTGAGCTGAGAAACAAATTATTTTTTTCAAGTTTTCTTGTTATCTTTGAAGGGTGATGGCTTCGATAAAACCTTTACACCAGAGCTCTGGAAAAAGAGGAACAGACCATAAATGTCAAGGCAGTGCCAGAAAAGCAAGTGATGACTGAGAGTGAAAGGAGTCAGGGGTGACTGGAAGGCTGGGTGCTTGGGGAGTGCAATGGCCTCTGTGAGGGAGACTGGGGCAGGCAGCAGCTCAGTGGGCAGCAAGAAAGGGGGAAAAGGGCTCTGCCTCCTAGGCCAAAACTGCTGCACAGGAGAGACACTACCCATTATCTGAAATAGGGGCTGGTAAGAGCAGGGAGGTGTGAGGGTTGTCCATAGACAGGTATTTCTGGCATTGTGGAAATGGAAATATTTTTTAATCTTGACTAATTTCATTGCAAAGATTACAAAGCTCAATGTGGAAATAGGATCAGTGCATTATATCTATTCCCTGCCTATGGAAAGCTTTTCCTCCTGCTCTCCATCACAGTCCTGCACATCCCTCCTAATTCATGGGGCCATTGTCGGCTCCTTCATGTGCTGGTTGTGGCTGATGTCAAAGCCTAACTGTGGGTCATCTGATTAAATTACTGTTTTCTAGATTCCACAGAGAATCAGAAAATGGTTCAGGAAAAAGTGGTGCATGTTTAATTAATAAAGGGCACACACACATCTTCATCACACCCTTGACAATGAACTTGAGAGGAAATAAATATGCTAAATAAACTGTCAGCATGGTGAGGCATTTTTTGGTTAGCTGCAAGTCAAAATCACCCTGGCAATATTGTAGAGTGGGTCTGAGCCAATTCTTATATCCAAAAGATGACGTGAGCTTTGTTTAAAAGAGAATGACAAAGACTTGTCTAGCTCCACTATTTCTGACCAGCCTGAGCCACTGTGCTCGCTAGCACTGTCCATTTTGAGCATTATTTTTCTATGTGGATAGCAAAGAATATGAAAACCTTCTCACTCAGGGCAAGAAGATAGAGTCACACCTGCACTAAACTATGAAGAATGAGCAAAAGGACTCAAAAGTCAGGAAAACAAGAAGCAGTCGATTCACAATCATTTCAGTCCTTAATTCACAAACTCCCAAAATCTATCAGTGTCTTTGCCAATCAGATGCCAAATCATGCCTGGAGCTTTAAGGAGCAATAATGTTGCATTAGCTACTTGGAAGTCAGGGAAGATCAGATGCTGGAAAAGTGAAGACACACTAATGAACATCACTCTCTGGGTAAGGACAAGAAACTGCTATCACCAACTATAAGTTCTTCAATGTTATACTTACAGAAAATGTGTATCGGTGCCTCATACGGAATGCTTTTTTAGGAATGTTCTGAATTGCCAAATGAAACAAGCGAAGACCCATAGCACCAGTGTTCCAAAGAGCTGTGTCTAGGTCTATGGTGCCAGGCTGTCCAACTCAACTGCATTGTGTTTGCCTTGGGCAGTTCTATGGAAACTTGTGAAACAGGCTCTTAGCTCACCTGAGCCAAATCATCATATTCTCATTTTGGAGAATCACGAATCTCCTTCATCTCAGAGTAAGGTTTAGAGTTGAATGCCACCTAGCACAGATAACCCCTCCTTTTTGCTAGCTGTTCACTTGGAGAGAGGCTGGACCTGCACTTGACATCATCAAAAAGATCAACAGTTATTTTTCTGACTATCACTGTCCACAGAGACCTGCCCAGGACCCATTTTCCATATCCACCTGCTCCTGAAGTATCTTCTTGTATCATCTGGTGGATACTCAAGCCACCTTCAGCTGGAATAAGCTGGGTGGAGGAGCCCTGGACACTGTCCTGTTCCTGGGGCTGGAGTGTTGGAAAGCACTGAAGTGACCTGTGATAGTAAGCCAGAAAGCCAGCAGTAGTTTCCCCATTTCCAAACAAATATAGAGAAAACATCAAGACAGGCCATCCACCAACTACCCCTCTTCCCTATTTAGCATCAGCACACTTCTGAAGA